GTGTGTGTGAGAGAGAGAGAGAGTGAGAGAGAGAGAGAGAGAGTTCTTATCCTAAATATATGCCTTGATATTAAAATAATACACAAAGAGATTATGGGTTTGTATGAAATGATTGGCTTAGCTGTCAAATCCTCCCATTATGTAATTTAAATCTAAATTTGCTTTAAAATCTTCACAGCTCTTAAACATTAAAACTACCCAAAATAAACAAAATAAATTAAATTATTTGATTTGTTTAAATAATATTTTTTACATAAATTAATGACAAGTGTTGTGAGAAAAAAGTCTCGCAACCGATGGATAAGGACTAGATTTTTGTGCTTAAAATTCATCTCAAAATTTTTAAGACCGAAACTAATGTTTTTGTTTTGTTTTTTGATGTTTGAGAAACATTTTTGATACGAAAAACAAAATAAAGTAATAATAAGTGATTTCATGGTTTCAGGATTAGAGTATACCTATAAATATGTATACCTGTGAAATACTTCAGACACACATAACATACCTTTCTTATCCTAAATCTTGATATTTAAATATAAATGAAGTGTTAAATATATTTTTCCCAAAGAAAAGTAACAAAAAACAAATCAAAACAAACTATAAATATATTTAGTAGAATATTGTTAATTAAATTTGACAAAAATAGTTAATAATAAGGTAATTTAATTAACTAAATATTTACATATTGTGTTAATTAAAAATGTACAATACAAACAAATATAAAGGAAAATAAAACAAATTAATAAATATATTAGAAATTAATTCGCAATAAGATATTGTCCCAAAACTAATTGATGGAAAATATTTATTTATTATTAAAAAAATTGTATTAATAATAATGAGAATCGCTTTTATGTAGAGATAAAAGTCGACTAAATTCGTGACTAAAGAAACTCTCATTTATTTCGCTTTAATTAATTACAATTGAAATACAATCGCCTTTTGAAACATGAAAACTCTTGAATAGAAAAATAAAAATGAGATTTTTTGATGAAGTTTTTGACTATAAACAAGAATACAAAAGTGGAAAAGGGGTATAGAATAAAATCTTATTCATTCAATATTTTAAATTAAAATACAAATCAATAAAAATAACAAAACTTTTATTAATGGAAAATGGTTATTTTATTATTCACTAAAATGCAAATCTTTTGTGTAAAATTTTTAAATTCATTTCAATAGTATAGTTATTTTCAACAAAATAATAGCAACTCTACGATCGATCAAAACGTTTATTTTAATTAAAATATTTATTAGTCTTTAACTACAATACCGTTGAATACAATTAAAATGCAAAACTAAATTTGTAATTAACTATTTTCTATCGGGGCCTTATTTAGCCATAAAAATGTAATTAAATAAATCACAAACTCATTAAAACACACATATTTGAATATTTTACGATTACCATTGTGTTGGTTATTAAGAGATTGAGTATCAGACAACTAATAGATTTTATTTAAATCAACGCTATTGTAGTAAATGGTGTTAAAAAGTGCTGAAACCTAAGACGAGTCATAAATTCAAGTTTAAGTTCAAGTATTTTTCGCAATTGTTATGTATTAGCAAAATAGGGGAAACAAATATATAATAACTTATTTCTCAACTTATTTTTGCATAATTTTTATGATGATAATGAATACTCTCCATACAGTTTACACACACGCCATCCATAACCCCGAAAAAATACACAAAAACTTTTTTATAACTCATCCCTTTATATAACTATTTAAGAGACTGTTTGTCTAAAAGTATTTTTCAACATTGAATGCCGTGTTATGTATGAAAATTGAAATATAAGTTAATCTAAATTTTCGTATAATTGTTTTGAAAGAGCGTTTAAAAAATATATTTTATCTCAATTTTCTATGAGAGTTATATAAGGCATCCGCCCAGACATCACACAAAAACATATTGTGATAACAATTTTTTTGTGTAACAAAATAAAATAATAAATCTTATGTTTGCCTATGGTTTTAAGGCTAGCGCCGCATAATAGACATGATGATTTTTCTCATAGCCTATAGCCTATGCATGTAATATATTAGCACCAGTATTATAAAATGTGAGTGAATTATGGGATTAATATTTGGGATGAAAATAATATTTTTTATATTTCGCTACAAATTGATTGTTTCAAATTGAAAGTTCCTTTTCATGGATTAAATGGAAATCTTATTAAAAATATTTTAAATAAAAAACTTTTCTTATAAGGAAAGTCCTAAACATTACAACATTACACAAAAATAAGATAATCTTAGGGATGAGTGAGTGCGAGAGAGAGAGAGAGAGAGAGAGAGAGAGACTTACAATAGAAATAATGCTCCACATTTCATTCACACATTGTTTCGTTATTGGATTTGTATATAATTTTTTGGTATTTTATTTTTATTTCGGCACGAATTTAGATCACATCTCATATTATATAATATATAATACAAACAAAACTCTCAAACAAAAAGAGACAAACATTTCTCTCTCCCCCTTGCAATTAGTGAACACCAAATACTGTTCACTATTTTTTCGGATTTATTAACAATAAGTTACATTCAATACGATTCAGGTATTTATTAAAAGCGTGTAATTATTTCTCTATAAGTATGTAATGAAGAGATTAATATTATTTCGTTGTATAAATGAGTGAATGCCTCAATGGATGAGTTGTTTATCATATTTACCATAAAATTTCGTTTATAATTAAAGGGGGAATCAAAAAGAAATCAAATAATAAATGAAATCCATTTGCCTTTCAGTCATAAATAGCTGTTAGAGAGCGGTATGGGTCACACCTACTCACTAACACACTGTTTAGCATTGTATTCAACGTGTGATATACAGGCCAGTGACTGAATGAGCGCCGGGATGTAAGAGAACGTGGTTTATATGAAAAGCTAATCAAAACCATTTGTCTTAACCATGCGATGAGTGACTAATTCTCAATCCATTCGCTCAATCAATGGCCTGTCATATAGGGAACGGGTCTATAATAGGCTGTGCGATGAGTAGCGATGCGATTGATGTGCAAAGAGACGAGGGATTGCTAAACGCACTCACATATAGACAGAGCCCCAGTATGTCAGTAGGCCATATCCTCTATACCAGTGCAAAATTAGACAGGTTTTACCGTATTATGTATAGTGCTGCAAGTATTGAGGGTCACATACATACCCGTGCGCTCATAGAATGGTTAATAGCTATTAGACATTGACAAAGAGTGCTAATATTTTCATGCCATACCTGTGCTGTTATTAGCCTAATATACAAAAAATAAAGTGTATTATTGTGTGAGTGAATGCCTCAATGGATGAGTTGTTTATCATATTTACCATAAAATTTCGTTTATAATTAAAGGGAAAATCAAAAAGAAATCAAATAATAAATGAAATCCATTTGCCTTTCAGTCATAAATAGC